CTGTTTTCCATAGCGGTTGCACCAATTTATATTCCTACCAAAGTGTACAAGAGTTCCCTTTTCTCCACATCCTCTCTAGCACTTGTTATTTATTGTCTTTTTGGTAATAGCCATTCTGATAGGTGTGAGGTGATATCTCATTGTGGTTTTGATTTGCATCTCCCTGATAATTATTGATTTTGAGCACCTTTTCTTGTGTCTGTTGGCCATCTGTATGTCTTCTTATGAAAAATGTCTATTCAGGTCCTCTGCCCTTTTGTTAATTGGATTGTTTGTTTTTTTTATATTGAGTTGTATGAGTTCTTTATATATTTTGGATATTAACCCCTTATCAGATATATCGTTTGCAAATGTCCTCTCCCATTCAATAGGTTGCCTTTTCATTTTGTTGATGGTTTCCTTCACTGTGCAAAAGCTTTTTGGTTTGATGTAATCCCATTTGTTTATGTTTACTTTTGTTGCCTTTCCCTGAGAAGACAGATCCATAAAAACATTGCTAAGACCAATGTCAAAGAGCTGACTGCCTATGTTTTCTTCTAGGAATTTTATGGTTTCAGGTCTTACATTGAGGTCTTTAATCCATTTTGAGTTTATTTTTGTATATGGTGTAAGAAAGTGTTCTAGTTTTATTCTTTTGCATGGAGCTGTCTAGTTTTCCCAGCACCATTTATTGAAGAGACTATCTTTTCCCCATTGTATATTCTTGCCTCCTTTGTCATAGATTGATTCACCATATATGTGTGGGTTTATTTCTGGACTCTCTGTTCTGTTCCATTGATCTATAGGTCTGTTTTTTTGCCAGTACCATATAGTTTTGATTACTATGGCTTTGTAGTATAGTTTGAAATCAGGAAGCATGATACCTCCCACTTTGTTCTTCTTTCTTAAGATTGCTTTGGCTATTCAGAGTCTTTTGTGGTTCCATAAAAATTTTAGAATTATTTGTTCAAGTTTTGTGAAAAATGCCATTGGTATTTTGATAGGGATTGCATTGAATCTGTAGATTGCTTTAGGTAGTATGGACATTTTAACATATTAATTCTTCCAATCCACGAGCATAGTTTATTTTTCCATTTATTTATGTTGTCTTCAATTTCTTTCACCAATGTCTTATTGTTTTCAGGGTACAGGTCTTCAACCTCCTTGGTTAAATTCTTTTTTGGATATTTTATTCTTTTCGATGCACTTGTAAATGGGATTTTCTTCTTAATTTCTCTTTCTGATTGTTCATTATTAGTGTATAGAAATGCAACCGATTTCTGTATATTGATTTTGTGTCCTGCAACTTTATTGAATTCATTTATTAGTTCTAATTTTTTTTGGTGGAGTCCTTAGGGTTTTCTATATATAGTATCATGTCATCTACAAATAGTGACAGTTTTACTTCTTCCTTTCCTATTTGGATGCCTTTTATTTCTTTTTCTTGTCTAATTGCTGTGGCTAGGACTTCCAATACTATGTTGAATAAAAGGGGTGAGGGTAGGCATCCTTGTCTTGATGCTGATCTTAGAGGAAATGCTTTCCATTTTTTGGTGTTGAGTGTGATGTCAGCTGTATGTTTGTCATATATGGCCTTTATTAGGTTGAGGTATGTTCCCTCTATACCCACTTTGTTGAGAGTTTTTATAATAAATGGATGTTGAATTTTGTCAAATGCTTTTCCTGCATGTATTGAGATGATCATATGATTTTTATCCTTTTTATCCTTGTTAATGTGGTGTATCACATTGATTTATTTGCAGATATTGAACTATCCTTGCATCCCTGGAATATATCCCACTTGATCATGGTTTATGATCCTTTGTGTGTATTGTTGAATTCGCTTTGTTAGTATTTTGTTGAGGATCTTTCCATCTATGCTTATAAAGAATATTGGCCTGTAGTGTCTTTGCCTGGTTTGGTGGCAGGGTAATGCTGGCCTTGTAGAATAAGTTTGGAATTGTTCCTTCCTCTTTGATTTTTTGGAGTGGTTTGAAAAGGAAAGCTATTAACTCTTCTTTAAATGTTTGGTAGAATTCACGTATGAAACCTTCTGGTCCTGAACTTTTGTTCGTTGGGAGTTTTTTGATTGCTGATTCAATTTCATTACTACTAATCGGTCTGTTCTTATTTTTTTCTGTTTCTTCCTGATTCAGTCTTGGAAGATTGTATGTTTCTAGAAATGTATCCATTTCTTCTAGGTTGTCCAATTCATTGGCCTATAATTGTTTGTAGTAATCTCTTATGATCTTTTGTATTTCTGTGGTGTCAGTTGTAACTTCTCCTCTTTCACTTCTGATTTTATTTATTTGGGCTCTTTTTTTTTTTTTCTTGATGAGTCTGGCTAAAGGTTTATTAATTTTGTTTATCTTTTCAAAGAACCAGCTTTTAGTTTCATTGATCTTTTCTATTTTTTTTAAGTCTCTGTTTCATTTATTTCTGCTCTGATTTTTATTATCTCCCTTCTTCTACTGATTTTGGGCTTTGTTTGTTCTTCTTTTTCTAATTCCTTTATGTGTAAGGTTGGATTGTTTATTTGAGATTTTTCTCGTTTCCTGAAGTAGCTCTGTATTACTATAATCTTCCTTCTTAGAACTGTTTTCGCTGCATCCCATAGGTTTTGGAATGTTGTGTTTTCATTTTCATTTGTTTCAAGGTATTTTTTAATTTCCTCTTTGATTTCTTCATTGACCCATTGTTTGTTTAGTAACATGTTGTTTGGCCTCCAGGTATTTGTGTTTTTCCCAGTTTTCTTCTCATAATTGATTTCTAGTTTCATACTGTTGTGGTCAGAGAAGATGCTTGATATGATTTCAATCTTCTTAAATTTATTGAGACTTGTTTTGTGGCCCAACATGTGATATATCCTGGAGAATGTTCCAGGTGAACTTGAAAAGAATGTCTGTTCTGCTGTTTGGGGATGGAATGTTCTGTATATATCTATTAAGTCCATCTGGTCTAAAGTGTCATTTAAGGCCTATGTTTCCTGGTTGATTTTCTGTCTGGATGATCTATCTATTGATGTAAATGTGGTATTAAAGTCCCCTACTGTTATTGAATTACTGTCAGTTTCTCCCTTTATGTCCATTAATATTTGCTTTATGTATTTATGTGGTCCTATGTTAGGTACATAGGTATTTACAAGTGTTACATTCTCTTGTTGGATTGATTTCTTTATAATTATATAATGCCCTTCTTTGTCTCTTGTTACAGTCTTTGTTTTAAAGTCTATTTTGCCTGATATATGTATTGCTACCCCAGCTTTCCTTTTGTTTCTATTTGCATGGAATATCTTTTTTCATCCCTGCACTTTCAGTCTGTGTTTGTCTTTAGATCTGAAGTGAGTCTCTTGCAGGCAGCATATATATGTGTCTTGTTTTTTTATTCATTTAGCCACCTTGTGTCTTTTAAATGGAACATTTAGTTCATTTACATTTAAAGTAATTATTGATAGGTGTGTACTTATTGCCATTTTGTTAATTGTTTTCTGGTTGATTTTGTCGTTCTTCTCTGTGCCTTTCTTCTTCTACTCTATTCTGTTGTGATTTGATGACTTTCTTTAGTGTTATGTTTGTATTCCTTTCTCTTTACTTTTTGGATATCTATTATAGGTTTTTGGTTTGTGGTTACCATGAGGTTCAGGTTTAATAATGTATGTATATAGCAGTCTATTTTAAGTTAACGGTCACTTCAATTCAAGCACATTCTAGAAGCACTACATTTTCACTCCCCTCACTCACACTTTATATTTTTGACATCATATTTTACATATTTTATTTTGTATATCTCTTAACTAATTGTTGTAGATATAGATGATTTTACTACTTTTGTATTTTAACCTTTAAACAAGCTATAGATGGTTGATCCACTTCCTTTACTATATGTTGGCCATTACCAGTGAGATTTTTTTTCTTTCATAATTTTCTTATTTCTACTTATGGCCTTTTTTCCCTCTATTTAAAGAACTCTCTTTAACATTTCTTGTAAGACTGGTTTAGTGGTGATGAACTCCTTTAGCTTTTGTTTGTCTGGGAAACTATCTCTTCTTCAATTTTGAATGACAACCTTGCTGGGTAGACCATTCTTAGTTGTAAGTTTTTTCTTTCAGCACTTTGAATATATCATGCCACTCCCTTCTGGCCTGTAAAGTTTCTGCTGAAAAATCAGCTCATAGTCTTATGGGGGTTCCCTTGTCTGTAACTAATTGTTTTGCTCTTACTGCTTTTAAGATTCTCTTTATCTTTAACTTTTGACATTTTAGTTATGTGTCTTGGTGTGGGTCTCTTTGTCTTTATCTCATTTGGGACTCTCTGTGCTTCCTGGACTTGGATGTCTATTTCCTTCGCCAGATTGGGGGAGTTTTCAGCCATTATTTCTTCAAATAGATTTTTTGTCCCTTTCTCTCTCTCTTCTCCTTCTGGGACCCCATAATGTGAATATTAGTACGCCTGATGTTGTCCCTTTAAGCTATTCTCATTTTTTAAAATTCTTTTTTCTTTTTGCTGTTCTGAGTGGGTGATTTCCACTACTCTGTCTTCCAGATCACTGATCCATACTTCTGCATCATTTATTCTTCTGTTTATTCCCTCTAGTGTATTTTTCACTTCAGTTATTGTATTCTTCAGCTCTGATTGATTCTTTTTTATATTTTCTATCTTTTTGTTGATGTTCTCACTGCATTCATCCATTCTTCTCCCAAGTTAGATGAGCATCTTTATGACCATTACTTTGAACTCTATCTAATAGATTGCTTGTCTCCATTTCAATTAGTTCTTTTCCTGAGGCTTTGTCTTCTTCCTTTGTTTGGAACATATTCCTTTGTCTCCTCATTTTGCCTAACTCTCTGTGTTTGCTTCTATGTATTAGGGAGATCAGCTGTGTCTCCCAGTCTTGAAGAGGTGGCCTTATGTGGAAGGTATCCCATAGGGCCTAGTAGTGCAATCCCGCTTGGTCACCAGAGCCAGGTTCTCCAGGTGTGTCCTCTGTGTAGACTGCGTGCACCCTCCTGTTGTGCCTGGGCCATGATTGCTGCGGGTGCGCTGGTGTATGGGGCTGGCACCCCAGAGCTGGAGCCACTTAGGAGGGACTCCAGTGCTGGCCAGGGCCACCCACCAGGTGGGGCAGTGTGGGAGTCACTTTCAGCAAGTCAGCTTTGGATTTGTTGTTATTATACCACACTGCTATATTTGACTTTTTCACAAGAGTGGATTATGGGCTTATTGGGTAATTTAACTTTTGATCTTGGCAAATATTTAGCTATATTAATTAAAATGACCAGTCAAAAAAGTAAACTGACTTCCTGTGCTAAGTTTTTTGGCCAACTTTTTACACAGTATACCTTTAAAAGACAAATTAGGTCATAAAAAGGGTCATTTTAAATCTCAAAGAATATTTATATTTTGCCTTAGAAAAAATTTTAAAGCGGTAAAAATTATCCTTCTTTGGTTTCTTTTCTACATTACATTTTCAAAGATCTGAAAAAATTCAAGAATAACTAATGTTATTTCAGAGAAGAAAGAAAAAGATAGCTTTGTGTTAATAGCTCACCATCAATTTATTATAAAAGACTCTTACTTTTTAGTGATATTATGGATTGCATTGTTTGCCTGTGTTAAGCCTGAACAAATCCTTTTTCTTTAAATTATGTAATCTGTGTAGAATTATTCTCAATTTTATATTTAAAGTAACACTATCAGGACTATTAACCTTAAATTACTTCTGGTTATACTTCATTTCAAGATTTTTTAAAAATTTATTTGCTGGTAGAAGGGCAGAGGGGTATCATTGTGTATGATTTTCATTTACCTGCCTGATGTCGACTGCACAATGATTCATTTATTGCAAGTTTGGATGTGGGTGTTTCACTTTAAGAAAATCCAGTATAAAACATACGCCCTGGAGACAAGGGAAAAGGGTATGCAGTTACTCAATTAATACCCAATTCATATCTTTGAAATGCACCCTAAAGTATATCAGAAAGATCTGGTTCAGACACACACACATACACACAAATTAATTTTATATATACGCTCTGTAGGGTCATGGGTATTTCATAAAGTGAGAATATCACTGTGTAACAATAAATCAAATGTCTGGACATTGCACATATTGGAAAGGGCACCGCTATTGTATCAAAGCTTTTGGAATCCTTCATAAACAAGCATCCTGACATCTTCCTCCCTTTTGCAGATGACCTCTCTCAACAGGAAGACAATGATCCCCCAAAAGAATATGATCCCGGGCAATTTGCAGGCCTTCTCCATGGATCTTCTCCAGCCTGTGAGTCCCCTGAAAATCCATTTCATCTTTATGGGAAAAGAGATGAACGTGAAGAAGGACAAGATGAAGTCAGTTTGGCAAATAGTCCTTTGCCTTTCAAGCAGTCTCCAATAGAAAATAACTCAGAACCTTTGGTAAAGAAAATTAAACCCAAAGTGGTTAGTAGAACAATTTTTCACAAAAAAACCAACCAACTCGAAAACCATACTATTGTTGGCACAAGAACAACTAGGGGTGGATCCCGGAATGGGGACCAGTGGATTGTGAACCCAGGGGGATTTGTGGAGAGAGCCTGTACCCTGGGGAGAATAAGGTCGTTGCCAAAAGCCCTGATCGACATGCATTTATCAAAAAATGTCTCTAAGTCAGATTCTGATCTCATTGCCTACCCTTCAAATGAGAAAACATCAAGAGTTAACTGGAGTGAATCTTCAACTGCTGAACCCAGTTCTAAAGGAAATTCTGAAAGAACACCATCCTTCACTTCTGAATGGGAAGAAGTAAGCTTTGTTCTTGTTATTCTTTATGTAAGGCTTTAGAGTCGAGGGAGGTTTGGGGAAGGATTTTCAGCTTTTTAAGTCTTTCAGAGGCAAAAAGAAATATTAACAAATACATACAGCTCCAAGTGGAAGGGAAGGGATCCGGGGGTAATACATGATAATTTCACAGTGAGGGTGAAAACAAACACAGTTCCACACATGTGGGGAAATCTATTGTTTCCATAGAAATTGGTATCAAGCAGAAGTAATAACTAGCTATGAGGTACAAGAGAATGTTCACATTATGTCCTACCAAGCACTGCAGCTGACAAATTGAGAAAAACCTTTGTATTTTTGCTGCTCTGCATCATTTTTCTGCTTGCTAAACTTTCTGTTAGCTCATCTCCCTTCTTAAAATATCGTATATTTTCAGAAGTACTCCTTATGATCTTAACCTTAATGGTAAACAGAATACCCCTGACTCTTCTCCAAGTACCATACAATAAACACAAATTACCTAATATTTCCCTTTTACAATTATCAGAGAGACATTAAAGAAAAAATGTGTTGGAGTCAAGTATCACCAATTTAAGCTCTACTTAAAGACAAAGTCTGTAATTTCATAGAATTACTCAGAAAGTAAATGTCTTGTAAGGTTATGAAATATCATCCTTTGTCCCAAGGAGGCTACATCATAAAATAATAAAGTTTGTTGCTTTTTCTTGAATTTCTACAAAGCATGGACCACATTGTCTCTTGGCTTTCATTCTAATATGTCACATTTTGTCTCTCAAAAGACTGTGCCAGTTGGATTAGGTTTTGAAGCACAATAGGTCACTATAGTATTCTGAGAAATAGAAATGGAAATGGTTCTGATATTGACATTCTGAATTGAGCTGTTTGGGAAAATCACTTATCTCTCTGCATCTGTTTCAGAGTGAACAAAATGGGACATTTAAGAAATGCTCATTGTCCTTTCTGAAACCTATCTTACTCAGGTTGCAAGAATCATGAGGAAGGAGATTAAACCATAAATGTCTAAAGCTTAGACAGTCGTATCTTCCTATGAATTCCATTCTAGTAGATTGATAGTTTGTTTGAGTCTATCCATTTCTTATATTTATTGACTCTGTGAATAACATCTGAAGTCCTTTTTGGAACAAGGCAGGTTTAATTAACATTTAACTTATCTCTTAGAATTAAGTTGTTTCTATGCCTAGATTCTTGTAACTGCATGCCACAGAATGGCTGTGGCTGATCAAACCATTTAGTAAGAACTTGGTTCCCATGGCCCTGCCCGCAAACCAAAACTTGCCCCTTCACCAGTCAGATGAGATGCATGTTCTCAGCTAGAAGAGAAAGGATGCTCAAGAGGACAGACGTTGTCACATGGACTCATCCTCAACCTCTCCCCCTCCTGAGTTTAAAGAATACACAATTCCTAACTTACTGATCCATGTAGGTCCAAACAAAGTTTATTTTAGGAAATACAAAGAAAAGGTAAGCTGATTTTGAGAGTTTAAGAAAGGGAAACATAATTAATATTTTTAAAAGTAATCAAAAGATGTTTGCTTCCCAATAAACCTTTCTCTGTCAGTCTCTTAATTATGGTATTGTAGCAGTAGTAATATCAAGAATATATGCTTCTGGCATTTGAAAGTTACTTTAAAATGCAATGCTAAAAGTGAATGTAATATTTCATTTATATGGTTTTGTTTCTTGCAGATTGACAAAATAATGAGTTCTATAGATGTTGGAATTAACAGTGGACTTAAAGAAATAAATGGTGAGACCACAAGTAAGAAAACCTCTCCTCTATGTTGTAATGAATAAATGTGTTCAAGAACTAGCTAGAAAATGATAGGAGTCTTTAGATAATTTCATGTTTTATCATAATAACAGGAGCTACAAATTATTTCCTTCCACTCGTATCAAACAACGGTGACCTCTGAACAACATCAATTATAAGTATGTTGATTTAGCAAATCGAGAGGTATTTTCCCATGTGCTATTTTACTATGCCAGTTAAAATTAATGGATTTTCAACTTTATGTAGAGCTAAGTATAAAGCACTTCAAAGTGTTTCAAATATGTTCTAAATGACTTAATATACTACTATTTCTCATTCAGTGAAATGTCTCATTTCATCCTGGCCAAAGTGACTAACAACTTCTCCCAAGTTTTAAGCTCCAGTATGGCAAGAACTATGTGTTACTCATCTTCATGTATTCCAGAATACCTAGCAGAGTGTCTCTCACAAAGTTTTGCAATTGCTATTTAATGTTTTACCCTCATGAAGTATTGTTTTCTCCATACAATTAAAGCTCCAAGTGGAAGGCCATTTGAAACTTTCTTTGAAGACTTTTTGCTTAATACCAACAGACGATGCCAAATAGCTAGACCTAAAAATAACAGTAATATTCATACAAAAGAAACTTCTTTTCTGGAACGAATCAAAAGACCTGCTCCATTTCTACCCTGCCACCAAGTAGTGGTGTAATTGGATTAGATAGGTCTATAAAATTTGGAGTGATAATTTCTAAGCTCTCAGGAGAACTCATGTTTAAATTAGTAGTGATAGTTAATGTTTCTGTAGAGATAATAAGAATAAGGTCTGTGAGAGAGAAGCCTCAATATGTCATAGGGCAAACAGTTACAGGACTTTGTGATACTTTTACTGGTCACCAGGGCCTTTTAAACAGCATTCCAAGTGACTCTTAAGCACAGGTAAGTTGGAAAATGGTTTTCTTATGGTGCATTGGGCCTGGGTGGATAAGAAGTAACATTGAAATCTAGCTTTCAGTCACTGAAGGGAATATTCAGGTCTAAATGAGACCCTTGTACAAGCACCTCACTCATTTCTGCTATGCTGGAACAAGAACTTAATTATTCTAATATGGCTGGGCCCCATGTTAATTGTGATAATTTTTTAAAAGGCTGAATATTTTTTTCTGAAATGCATATTTGTTTTAGATTTTAGAAACTAAAAAATTAAGAAAAAAGTATCAAAATTGTGTTCATATATTTGGTGATGCAAGTATGGTGTTAGCTCTGTGATAGTGTGTATAGCCAGGTCTCTCACACAAAAATGCTGATAAACATTGAAGACTTTTCTAGTATCCAAAGAACTAGCCTAGGAATGTATGTTGCCACATAGTCCTTTCAGACATGCTTACAGAATAATTTCAAGAAAGCTGTAGGAATGCAGAGTTTTGATTTATGTGACTATTGATTTTCTTATCAATAGTAAATTCCCCAATACTGAGAATATTCAAGCAGAGACCTAGTGCTTCTCTATCGGGAGACTTAGGTGACATTGAACATTACTCTAATGTTCTAAAATTCTTTAAGCAAGTAGTACCATAGAATTGTAAAAATATCATAAACATTATTATAATGAAAATAAGGGTAAATGTTAACAATGCCATTCAGGGAAAGCTGCCTTTGAAGGACATTTTAATGGTTAACAAATCCACAGATTAATTCCTTAATTCTGCTCTTTTCACCTCTCATACCGCCATCCTACCCACTACCTTTATTTACTATTTTTCTACAATGATAATGAAAATGGAAGTATAGACTCTGTCCCCAAAGCATCATTACTATAAACAAAGACTGGTGCTGTATGCGCCTTAATTCTCACCTCTCAATTACACACTAATTGTGCACTAAGTGATTCACCATAACATGTGGCATTCCCATTGGCTGTTAGGCCATTTGTGAATTACAGCTTTACTGGCTGCAGGCTTTTGCTTCTCAAAGCTAGATAAAACTAGAGAGGTGATGAACAACCCTATGGTGAAGTTGACATTCCACAAATAATGTGTTGGGTACAGAGTGTGGTTGGGAAATCACATGATGAAATAAAAAGTCAGACAGATGTGAATTCAAATCTCTGCTCTGCTTTGAATAGCTGCTTGATCTCAGGCAACTCACTCAGTTTTCTCATCGACAGAAATGGGGATATTAATATAGGATCATTGTGGAGACATGTGCAATGGCATATATGTAGAGTCTGACACATGTAGATGTGTATTAAATTTTAGCTCCCCCTTGCCCTACCATGAGGGAGACATTGTGTTTGACACTGTGGGCATACCAAGATAAACACACCAGCCCTTTCTGTAAGAACCTTGTGATGTCAACTAATCTCACAGTCTTCTTGTTAAATTTGCTGTATTCCTTGAAATTGTTGTGATGTGTCAGTTGGAATGCAGGTCATAACAAACCCAACAGTCAGTTGGTATCAGAGAAGGTAGTTACTAAAAGACAGCATAAAACTCCAGAGTACCCTGGCAAAACAAAAAAAAAACAGAAATATCTAAAATTTATTGATGTAAATGGTCTAAATTATTTTGAGGTCATATTCGTTTATAACATTGTATAAACTTCAGGTGTACATTATTATATTTCAGCTTCTGTATAGACTGCATTGCGTCCACCACCACTAGTCTAGTTTTTATCCGTCACCATATATATGTGCCCCTTCACCCCTTTCCCTGTCCCCTACCCTCATTCCTCTCTGGGAACCACCAATCTGTTCTCCATATCTATGTGTTTCTTTGCTTATCTTCCACATATGAGTGAAATCATACGGTATTTGTCTTTCTCTGTCTGACTTATTTTGCTTAGGGTATTATGCTAATTAGTGATATTGAACATCTTTTCATGTGTCTGTTATCCATCTGTATATCTTCTTTGGAAAAATGTCTGTTCATATCCTCTGCCCATTTTTTGATTGGGTTTTTTGTTTTTTTGTTGTTGAGTTGTATGAGTTCTTTATATATTTTGGAAATTAACCCCTTGCCAAATATATGATTTGCAAATATTTTCTCCCAGTTAGTGGGTTGTCTTTTCATGTTGTTGATGGTTTCCTTTGCTGTGCAGAAGCTTTTCAGTGTGATGTAGTCTCATTTGTTTGCTTTTCCTTTTGTTTCCCTTGCCTGAGGAGACATGGCATTCAAAAAGATACTGCTAAGATGATGTCAAAGAGCATGCTGCCTATGTTCTCTTCAAGGAGTTTTATGGTTTCAGATTTTACATTCAAATCTTTAATCCATTTTGAGTTAATTTTTGTGTATGGTGTAAGATAATGGTCTACTTTCATTCTTTTCATGTGCCTGTCCAGTTTTCCCAACACCTAAATGGTCTAAATTATTTTTATGAAATGTGAATATCCTCTTTTTGCTTGACAGTGGGAAAGATGTACAATGAAATTAATGGGAGGTAATTTTAGAATGAGTGAGAGGAAATACTACTTTACCTAGCATGTCAGTCTCTAGACTCTTGCTTTGGAAGGCCACTGAGCCAAGCACTATTTCTGGTTTTAACAGAGCTGCATAGTTTTATGAGCATATATGATGATTGTTGCTAAAAACCTCAGAAGATGATTGAGAGAATAAAATCATAAGCAATGGGGATACATGAAGGATCAAGGATCAGCATTAAATTTTCCATGCTCTTGCCCATTTTGTTTCAAAGTTTTTGTTTGCCCTTCCCTTCACCTGCACATTTGCAATTTCAAGAATTCTGTAGACAAAATATTTATTGGATCAGGAGGAGATTTGGAATACTCTCATCTTCACTCCTATAAATATGAACCACTCAAAGTATGAGCAGTCTCTGTGAATCATCTAACTAGTTCCACTCATAGAAAGTACTCACCTCTTTTTTTTTTTTTCTAATTTCCTCAGCAATTACATGGTAGTTTGAAACTTATCCAGCAACCTCAATGGTCCAAGACTAAGATAGAAATAAAAGTAAATAAAATCTACTGAATTAATTTTAAGTCAGTCCCTTAGGTTCTCACTCAGAATAATATTAATGCATAATTTTCACAAGCATAACTTCTGGTTTCCCACTGGAAACCAGATTTAAATGCCAAACAAATTGGCACTGGCAGTAGCACTCATTATATTGAATACCTCACGTTATGTAGAACATCCTGTTCTTTGGTGATGCTGGGTATGTGATGTGATAGTACATTCTACATCATCATGTACTGCCATGTATAGGATTTTTTCAGAGAATGGGTTTTGAAGTTAGATAGACTTGGCTTCAGACCCCAACTTTGCAATTCACTGGCTTTGTGGGCCTCTTTGATGTCAGCTTCCTCACCTATAAATTCAGATTTTTAACAATTATTTCATAAGACTACTGCAAGATTAAATTATACACTGCACTACTATAGCCTAGAACGTACCAGGTGATCAATAAATATAAATTCTCTTGCCTTCTTATTCAAGTATGCATGACTTACCTTTCCAATTAGAGTGTTCGCGACATAGGAAGATACTTGGGAAATCTTGCTTATCTTTTTGATCAGTGAGGATTGTAGTTAAGAGATAACTACTCATATTCTAAATTGCTTTCATGTGGAATCTTTTTTGAAGTTTTATTTCTTAACCATTGTCTCCTTGTATCACAAGGAATCACTTTCAAATTAGGAAATTTACCACGTTCATTGGAACTACTTCAAATTGTCACACTTTCTAAGAATCAGGTTGATGATCTTGATGAGATTGAGGATCACTTAAGTAAAGTGGAGGCAGTAATTGGCTCCACAGGACTTGCTTATCATTACACAAGAGCAAATGTGCACAGTAATCAAGTGCCCAGGCTTTACAATACAGGGGCGGCAGATAATCTTATAAACACCATCATATTGCTAAACTGGCTTTAATAATCTGCTACACTAAACAGACTTCAGGTTTATGGACTATATTAGATTGATCTCAAGTACATGAATATAAAAAGTAGTATTTATTTAAAAAGTGTTTTTTAAGGCTGGGATTTTTTTCTTAGAAGTTAAATTGTGTTCAAAGAGAAATATTCTAGAGTCTTAATTTTTAAAAACCTACTTTTGCCAATATATGAATTCCATCAAAATTTTAATTATAAATGAAAGCTATTAAAATGAATTTGTAAAGGATTTTATCATGGACTACACTGTCTATATTGGATAGATAAAGCATAATTCTTAAGTCATTTGCTGGAAAATGCATAGCTCTGAAAGCAGTAGCTAACATTAATCCCATTTTGCTCCTCTTCCTCCAAGAGTCTGAGGGCCATGTTACAAAGTTCAGAGTCCCTCATAGCTGTAGAGATCCTCGGAAAATTTCTAGGAATTGAGGAACTCACTAAGGCAGGGTAAGTGTTTTCTCTCCTCCTGATCTAAGCTCCACCTTCTCCCTGGTCTACAGGAACAGAAAGAGCTCACATGGCCCTTTCCCCAAAGAGGATCTCTTTCTGGGTGGCTAGGGCAGACATCTCCACAGCTCCAGAACCTGCTTCTCCCTCATGTCTTGGTGCTTCCAGCCCCCTGATATTGGCTCGCGTAGCTCTAGATCTGCGTCAGGAGGTACTTTGCTACCGATGAACTGATAGCTGTCCTCCCACTGAGGTTGCTGATGGCAATATCATTCCTCAAACTCTAGGAGAACACTTTTAAAAAAATGTATTTACAATTTCCCAGAGTTACTCTATTAGAGACATGACAAAGAGGAAAGAAGCTGAAATGTATTCCATTGTTACTGTGTGTCAGATACTGTGCAATTTACTCCTGCAAACATTTTTGCATTCAGTTCTCAAAATAACTCGGTGAGGTATTATTATACCCATTTTATAGATGAAGAAAGGCTCAGAAAAGTTAAGTAACATGTTGAAGTCAACTGCTGCAAATGTAAGGTTTTCTTCCTTCCTGAAGTCCACACTCCTTTCAATAAAATATGCTGCCTGCACAGAACAACAGAAGCCAGCCCTTTGCTTCTTTCTCTTTAGCGCAAATCATACTCATATGCACTATAACGAGCCATCTGAGTGTGTTTAGGTGTAGAACCAACCACTTCCTCTTAGCAAAGCCTAAATATTGATATGCAAGACTTTAGCTCAGATCCCAAAGCACAAGCCACATGGTTATGTATTTAAATGAATCACAGCCCCGAATATCTTCTACCTCCCAAAAGTGAATGCATATGCTAATAATGACCTGGGTTTCACTTATTTTCAGAGAAAGAATTTTCCTTGCCTCCAGTAATATTCTTTTTCCTGTGAACTGTTAAATTGCACATAAAAGCCTCTCTGTGAAATGCTTTGCAACAGGCATAATTTATTTTTGATTTTTATTTCTTTCTACAGTGCTATATTTAATAGAACCAACTGGGGAAGGTGGTAGTAGAATGCGTTAGCACACAAGCACACTATTTGGTCTAAATCAAGAGAGGACTTATTTTTATTATTATTTTATATAACACTTCACCAAGTGATTTAGTTATTTTTTTTTTCAGATAGATTAAATCTAGGAAATCCCTTAGTAATAGAATAGCTGTGTAGAAATGTGAATTACACTAATCATTAGGCTAGCATGTGGTAACTAATCTTTATCAAAAGATAGTGTTTATTAATCAGCCAAACAACTGTGTTCTTAACACAATAGACGCTAAAATTTATTTAACACAATTCATTCCACGTAGCTGTTAAAAACTAAAATAACCTACATAATATAGATTTTGATCACTAGAATATGGTTGAGACTCTCTGGTTTTGAAATTACAAGTAATATTCATATGTGAAATTAGGTTTCTCTTAAGTATGAAACAGTTGAGTATTATTCTATGGCCTAATATTTGCCTGTGACGTATCAATAATTAGAACTAGTACACTGTTTTCAATTCAACAAAATATTTAACCTTCTAGAAGAGGCCTAGAGAAGTGAGCAAGTACAATCTTCCACTCGTACTGGAGTACGTTCCATAACATCTTTTGTCTATGATTAACCAACATCAACCAACATCTGCTTCCATATTTCCCATGATGATGAGCTCACTACTTCCAGAGAAAATATATTCTACCACTGGGAAGCTTAAATTTTTAAGAACTTATTTTTTTGAGTCAAAAATATGTCACCTACGTAGACATAGATTTGAATACCCATTCTAACAATTACTATCAGTGTAACCTTGAGAAAATCATTTCATCAGCCTAAGCCTCACTTCTTCATACGGTAAACAGCTATAACAAGCAATGTCTACCTCCCTCCAACATCATTGGGAAGATCTAACGAATTACTACATGAAAAAGTAGTTAGCTACATTGCTGGTACATAGTAGACAATAAGAGATGACATCTCCCTTCTTTGACTTCTCTTTTCCCTTCTATCCATTTTTCTCTTAAAAAAATTTCCAGAGAAACAAAGGATGGATAATGGCCCATTATTTCTAATATATATAAGTATCTTCAGGACATGGATGATATTTTTGATAGACTATACCCCTTGCACATTCAACATAAAGCTGGAAAACAGTTGCAAACAGTCTTCTTTGTAGATACTTTAAAAGTATTAGTTGAATAACTTCTATATAAATGTCAGTGCATTTTACAAAGTCCACCATTAACATCTTCATACTGGTAAGAGAGTAGGAGGTAAAAATGATTAGGAGTAATTTGAAATATAGATAATAGAGCTTTGTAAGTTATGGATCATCATAATGATTGCTTTTGGATACAAATATGTTTTCCTGAAATATAATGAAGAATTAAGTGATAAACATGGGCATGAGAAAATCTTTATAACTTACACTGGTTGTTTCTATGATACATTGTCCTGATAAAAAAAGGCTTCTCATCTCTTAGGATTTTTGATACTCAAGTGTAAACTTCTAGAGAGTTAGGAAATGAAATGTTTTATAAATTTACGAACAATAGTACCTAGCAATATCATTTATAGGAATGTATTCTAAAGAAGCAACAGCACAAGAGCAAAAAAATATGTATATAAAGATGTTCATTTCAGCATTGTTTATGATTATTTAAAAAACAGAATCAAACCAAATGACCAGTAATGGAAAATTTGTAAAATGAGTTACTGTAATTCCCTATGATGAAATGTTAAATATCTAATTAAAAATGATATTATATCTATATTTATTGCCATGTAAATATGGCCATAATATATTACTAAGTGAAAAAAGTAGATAACAAAGTAAATTATAAGCCTGTTTCTGAATACACGTGCATGAAAAAGATCTAGAAGGACGTATGCGAAAAGGTTAACTCTGGATATCTCTGGGTAAGATTATCAGTGATTTTTATTTTCTGCTCTCCTAAATTGCTTGAAATCTTTACAGTGAGTATACATTACTTTTGTTTTCATTGTCTATACCATTCAATAAAAAAAGTATATGCCAATTTGGTAAACAAATGTAGTAGTAAACAAATATATAATTTATACATAGACACATGTATACAAACACATATATATAAACATTCATATGTGAAACATAAAATGTTATAGCTATCAATGCTGTTAATTAAAGGCTTGCCAAGTGAATACTATTAATGAATATGTGATTAAGTCTTTTTTATTAATTTTAAGCTAAAATGGGTGTGTTTCAATGGTTTCAGATAAGGGATTCATTTGACTTGTTTTTATTTTTACTTTTTATCTTACTGCAAAAACTATGTTAAAATAGCTACACAAATTTTTAAAATAACCATAACCCAACCCCTGATCAAAATGATTTTTTCTTTTGTCCATGGTTTGGTCTGTGTGCATATTCTAGTGACCTTCTAGTCCTTGTCTATGAGCACATTCAATTTCTACGTATTAATAATAATTTTACAGATGGAATTTTGCACTCTTCATTTTCAAATACCGTTTCACAAAATTCTGTTTTGTTACATTTTTTTCTTATTCTCTTGCTTTATCCCTCCTGTGAATAGCCAGTGTTAGCCTAGTGTGTATGCTTCCATTCTTTTCTCCAATTTCATGCAATCATAGATGGATGATAGATGAAAGATAGATAGATAGATAGATAGATAGATAGATAGATAGATAGATAGATAGATAGATGATAGATAGACAGATAGATAGATAGATAGGTAGGTAGATGTTGTTTGTGTTTTAAAAACATGAAATCATGCTATATACATTTCTCTGCAACTTGTTCTTCTCATTTAACAATAAATCATAACTTTACCTTATTTTTATAATCAGTAAAGTAAATAACCTATGAAACAAAATTGCACTCATGAAGTTTACCCTTAGAGAGGAGAAGAGCTCTGACCTGATTCCTCCTCCCACCTCTGCACTAACTTGCCATGTGACTTGGAAGCAACACCTCACAATGAGCCTGAGTCTCCTAATGTGAAAATAAAAAGGTAGGACTAGATCTTTTCCAACTCTAAAGTTCTATGACTCATACTTTTATCTTTCATTTTATGGGTTGTGCTTTGGCAGAATGTCCTTCTTTAAAACTTTCCCCTTCTTAATTTCTCAAGAACAAATGACCAATAAATCTCAAGTATGCGTATTTAAACTAGGTTCTTCCAGGAATGTTGCCAGATCCTTGCTTTACCATGCTTTTTAAATCTATTAATGTAATAAATGCATAATTTAATTGATATATGTCTGTAAGATATATAAGTTCTTTGTTTTTACATGCAAAAGTGACTTTCTCCTAAGCATCTCAGCTCTTTTAATAACCCTTATCTTATGCTGATTTGTAGGAGACTTAAATGACTAGCTGAAATCATGTGCACGTTAGTTATATGAATGGGAATAAATGCAGAGTTTCTGATACTACACTTTGCTGCTTCTTGAATCCACTAAGGTTCTGTAAGACATTTTATGGCAAAAAAGTAGTTAGCATTTCAATAGTGTATGCTTTTCATTAGGTCACAGGT